ATCATGTCCGACTCTTTGCAACCCCATGGACTGTAGCCCACCAGGCTCCTCTGTCCATGGGGATTCTCCAGGCAAGAAGACTGGAGTGGGTTGCCATGTCCTCCTCCGGGGGCATCTTCCCGACTCACGGAGGGGAACCTGTGAAAGCTGTTGTCAGTTTCACAAAGAAAACTGTGAGTTTGCAAAAGACATCATAAAAAGAAAAGAAAAAAAAAAGCAGAGATGTTGAAAGCAAGGGCATTTCACACAGACAGGTGGCTAGAGCTGCAAGCAGCACTTACCCGGCTTGGTTTTCCCTGATGCGTTCGCGTGCCCCAGCAAGAAGACAGCGGCGGCCGCCCAGGACAGAAAGACACGCCTCATGGTGGAAGCCGGAGGTGGAGGCAGCGAGCAGAAGGTCGACTCCTCCAAGGGGACTTCGGCTCATGACTAACGTAGAAAGGTCACCCCTTTTTTTAAAAGGCGGAAAAGAAACTGGGGAAATGACTACAGGAAACAGTCATGCTTTTATTTTAAAAGATGACTCTGGTCAGAAAGGAAAAAAAAGTGCAGAATCATTTCTTCAGCCTCGCCAATCATTGGTGCAGCCCTGCTGGATACAACTGTCTAGAGAGGCTGATCAGATAATGGATCTTGTCCAGCCAGGGTTCTCAGCCTCTGGTGGGTCGTGAGAGTCCTGTGTTTGGAGACGGAGGCCCAGACAGGTCTCATCTAGCTGATGCTTTCTGGCTGCTCATCCAGGATCACGGAGATTTGGTCCAGTTCCTGATGGCATCAAGGAAAGCAGGGGACAGGATGATGTCTGTGTCAGGGACAAAGTTGGCTGGTAGTTCTCTGGGTCGCAATGGAAAATCACTTCCCAGAGGTTATCAGGGAGATTTGTCAGTGGGATTTGTCCTCTCAGTAGGCTTTGTCTTGCAGGACAAAGCCTGGGTTGACCATCAGGAGCCAACTTACCCTTCCCCCCTCCAGTCATAAAACCAGTCCACCCTAAAGGCAATCAAACCTGAACATTCATCAGAAGGACTGATGCTGAAGCTCTAATACTCTGGGCACCTGATGCAAAGAGCCAGCTCATTGGAAAAGAACCTGATGCTGGGAAAGACTGAGGGTGGGAGGAGAAGGGGACAACAGAGGATGAGACAGTTGGATGGCATCAGTCCCTCGATGGACATGAGTTTGAGCAAGCTCCGGGAGTTGGTGAAGGACAGGGAAGCCTGGCGTGCTGCAGTCCCTGGGGTCGCAAAGAGTCGCACACGACTGAGCCACTGACCAAGAACTCACACCTGCATCCAAAAGCACTCCCGGGAGTCGGTGTTGCTATTCGGGCCACAGTTCGTGTCCACCTCTCTTCGACTCTTACTGAAAATAACACCCAGCGTGATAACCATCCTTGTAAAATCAGGTTTAAAAAACTGCAAAGCCCTAGGACCTCCCTGGCGGTCCAGGGGTTAAGAATCCACCTTCCCTCCAACACAGGGGACAGGGGTTCAACCCCTGGTTGGGGAACGAAGCTCCCATGTGCCTCGGGACAACTAAACCAGTGCACCACAGATAAAGACGGTGTGGGCCACAGTGCAAGACCTAGCATGTTGAAACAGACCCGATGCAGCCAAAGAAATAAATTTAAGACAAATTTTTTAAAAAAAGCACACACACAAAAACTACCAACCCCTTTCACAGATATCCACTGGCAGAATCTGTGAGCCACGGGCAAAGTGAGCATAGATTGGTCCGTTTTAGAGTTGGGACCCGAGTTTTCCAGAAGCTGATGGTGGCTGTATGTGCGCTAAGTCATTCCAGTCGTGTCCGACTCTTTTTCGACCCCATGGACTGCAGCCTGCCAGGCTCCTCTGTCCGTGGGAGTCTCCAGGCAAGGATACTGGAGCGGGTTGCCATGCCCTCCTCCAGGGGGATCTTCCTGACCCAGGGATCGGTCTCTGGCTGATGGAACTCAAATTGTTCATTGTGGTGCAGGGTGAGATTCAGACCTTCCTGGCGCCAGACTAGGGGTGCTTCGGCCACGACCATCCTTCTGGAGGTCAGAGGCTCAACGCTGTGGTCTCTGGGCTAAAATCCAGGGGTAGAGTAAGTAGATAGATAGACAAATAGAATAAGTAGATAGATAAATAGAATAAGTAAATAGAAAGAACAAGTAGATAGAATAAGTAGATAGAGAAATAGAATAAGTAGCTAGATAGAAGAAGTAAGTAGATAGAATAAGTATATAGACAGAATAAATAGAGTAAGTAGACAGAATAAGTAGCTACATAGAATAAATAGATGAATAGACTAAGTAGATAGAATAACTAGGCAGATAAATAGAATAAGAAGATAGAATAAGTAGCTAGATAGAATAAGTAACTAGATAGAAGAAGTAGATAGAAGTAGATACAAAGAATAAGTAGATGAACAGAATAAGTAGACAGAATAAGTAGACAGATAAATAGAATAAGAAGACAGATAATAAGGAGATAGCTAGAATAAATAGATAGAGAGACAGCATAACTAGATGGATAGTCACAGCATCCTCATGTAGGTCAGGATTCCCCAGGCTCACTCTCACGGATGCCTGGATGGATGGATGGATGGATGGATGGATGGATGAGTAGAGAGGATAAATATGTGATTACACAGTGACGCCTGTCCAGGTTTCTCGGCCTCAGCAGTGCTGATGCCTGGGGCTGGACATCTCTCTGAGGCGGGGCGTCCCGGGTCCCGGGCCCTGCGGGGTATGGAGCAGCGCCCCTGGGGTCCCACCCACCGCACGCCAGGAGCACCCCCTCCGCAACCAGCTGTGACCCTGAAATGTGCCCGGACGTCTCTGCCCACTGCCCCGCCTCCCTCCTCCCTGCCTCGCGCCTCCTGCAGAGAAGCCGGAGCTTCGAGCCCTTCTCTGGGGCTCCAGCTCATCCTAGAGGAACCTTGCATTTCAGACATTTTAACCTGAAAAGGGAACAAACGCCCAGGCAGAGGTGGCCGGGGCGGTGACGGGGCAGTCTGAGGTCACAGGTGCTGCTTTCCTGGGCGGGGCTGGGAATCCGGGGAGATGAGTATTTCACGGGACCAGAGATGCGTGGTTCCCAGAGGCAGGGTCTCCCATCCTCCCTGGGGTCCGTTTGTTGTTTGAGGGAACCCAAGGGGCATCAGAATTTACCATGTCCTCCAGCGTCCCCTGGGAAACGGTGAGAGAGAGACCGCATGCTGGACACGTTAACAGCTCCGAGAGGCGGTACCCGCTGGGCTTCTGCAGTCTCGGCGGGCTACCCAGGAACCTCTTAGGTTCTCCGGTCTTGCCCTTCAAGGGGACATAAATGTGGTGGAGACGGGGGCGGGAAATAATGAAGCAAATCTCCCCATCCACCCGCCGAACGTCCCCGGCTCCCTTCCAGATTCCAGGATGGAAACAGTCCCTCCACGCGAATCCCGAAGACCACTGGCATCACCTCTCACATGGATAACACACCACCCCTCTCGGGAACCTCCTCCCCACGCCCCGTGCGTTGCACGCAAAACCACAAACCGATAGGGTACCTACCGTGCGTTTCTTCCACCGGTCAGGCGCTGGGACTGAGTCAGCAAGCCGAGAAAGGCAACAGGGTGGAGGTGGGAAGATGTGGTTGTCCCAGCAGAGCTAGAAACGTCTGCTGTTCTGTCTCTCGGGCCTGGCTGCCCTCCTGCACACGTGGGAATGACGTGGGTGGGCTACAGATGCGTCTTGTGAGGCCACAACGCTTGGTGGCATAGCGGCCGGTCATGTGTCCCGATTGACAGGGTGGGTGCGCCTGGGAAGTTCTACTCGGGGTCGGAGGGGGGGACCAGTCTCAACGGGAGGCTTGAGTGCAGGGCACTTGAATGTTCTAGCACCTTCACACACACACACACGCACACACACACGGCCGCTGGGCTTGAAAAGGAATCCAACAGCTTGAATGCTCTCTCTTCCCTGGCTGGGAGACTTCATTTGACGGTCAGCCTGCCCGAGGGTCTGGTCACTTCAGCTATCGCCCGCTGGCCAGAGGCAGTCACGGGCCAGCCCAGACTGCAGACATGCTGAGCATCCTTGCGAGGAGCTGTGAAGAATTCACAGCCGGCATTCCCTGGTGGTCCAGTGCTTAAGAATCTGCCTTCCTGGAGGAGGAAATGGCAACCCGCTCCGCTCTTCTTGCCTGGAGAATCCCGTGGACAGAGGCGCCTGGTGCGGCTCCCATCCACCGGGGTCCCACAGAGTCAGGCACGACTGAGCAACTAACAGCTTTCACACTCTCTTTTTGTTTAAATAAAATAGTGTTTCCTCTCCCTGAAAAAAAAAAGAAAAATTTGCCTTTCAGTGCAGGGGACATTCCATCGATCTCTGGTCTCGGTCTCGGGGGTGATACCACACACAGCAGGGCAACTAAGCGTCGAAGCTGCAACTACTCGCCCTTGTGCTAGAATTACTGAGCCCATGTTCCACAATGACTGAAGCCCACACACCCTAGAGCCCGTGTTTGGAAACAAGAGAAGCTTCCGCCGTTAGAAGCCCTCTCACCACAACTAGAGAGCCCCCCCAGCCCCATTCACTGCAAGTAGAGAAACCTTGCAAGCAGCGAGGAAGATCCAGTGCGGTCAAAAAAAGAAAAAAGAAAGAAAGAAATACATTAAAAAAAAAAAATGAATCCACACCCATAAGGATGTCTGTTTGACAAGACTCAGCATGCCTTCCAAAAAAAGACACTCGGGTCTTGCATGAATTCAAGATAAGACGGGCTCACGCTTATCCCGCCCCGCCTTGCACGTCACAGCCTCCAGCCCGCACGTCGCTCTGTCGGAACGCGCCGAGTGACACGACCTCTTATCTCTCCTCCAGCCCGCCAGGTTGTCGCGGCCAACTATCACAGAACAGCCCTGCGTGGTCTGCTATCAGATCCATCTGTCGGCTTTGACACTCCGGTGAGAACTGTTACATAACAGAAGGGTTTCCCCGTCCCAGAAGCAGAGAGCAGAGGCCAGTCTGTACAGCACAGAGATGGTGTGGGAAGCTGTCTGCTGTTTCATCTGTTTGGAGAGAGATTTGAAGATGCACAGAGGTGATGATCAAGAAACTTGGAAAAGGAGGGATTGGCTTCAGGTGGTGCGAGAGTGGAACTCGGGGGTCATAAGGGGTCTGTGCCACGTAGACCAAGGTTGTTGTTGCTTTTGAGTCGCCGAGCTGTGTGTGACTCTGTGTGATCCCATGAACCGCAGCACGCCAGGCCTCCCTGTCCATCACCAGCTCCCGGAGCTTGCTTAAACTCATGTCCATTGAGTCGGTGATGCCATCCAACCATCTCATCCTCTGTCGTCCCCTTCTCCTCCCGCCTTCAGTCTTTCCCAGCATCACAGTGTTTTCCAATGAGTCAGCTTTTCGCATCACGTGGCCAAAGTATTGGAGTTTCCGCTTCAGCACCAGTCGTTCCAATGAGAATCCAGGGTTGATTTCTTTTAAGACTGACGGGTAGACCATGGTGTGTGTTAGTCCGTCATTCATGTCAAACTCTTTTGTGACCCCGTGGACTGCAGTCCAACAGGCTACTCTGTCC